GCCTTACTAGTAGTAACAAGAAGCTACTAGGAACAAGTGCCTTACTAGTAGTAACAATAAGCTACTAGGAACAAGTGCATCACTTCTAGGAACAAGTGCCTTACTAGTAGTAACAAGAGGACGCTACTAGGAACAAGTGCATCACTTCTAGGAACAAGTGCCTTACTACTAGGAACAAGAAGCTACTAGGAACAAGTGCATCACTTCCAGGAACAAGTGCCTTACTAGTAGTAACAATATGCTACTAGGAACAAGTGCATCACTTCTAGGAACAAGTGCCTTACTAGTAGCAACAAGAAGCTAGTAGGAACAAGAGGACGCTACTAGGGGCTCCTGGCATCGCTACGAACGTAACAAGTGCATTACTACTAGGAGCAAATAGCTATTAGTAGCGATGCCCTTGTTACGTTCGTAGCGAATGAGGTCATGAAAAGATTCTAACCCGCCTCAGCCATTCCGCCAGAGAAAAGAATCAGCTCGGGATCCACAAAACGGCAACAATTGATGCATCCCAACGCCAAGTACCTCCAGGTTCGTCTACAATGCTTGCTGTCTCTGATAAAATGAAAAAGTGATCGTGCGCTTTTAACTTTCCAACACGGCAGACACAAAACTTTGCAGCCAACAAAAACACATGGGCAAAATGACAAGCCTGAAGTCCGGATACCCGGTTCCTTTGCAGGGTCCGTGCTGTGAGTTCCTACAACCCCCCCCGTGGTGGTCATTCTGTAGTAACAAGTGCCATCCATGGGTGCCCACTGTCACTATCATCCAGCCAACGCCACACTTGCCAAACGACCTCCCCGCGGAGTAGCGTTGAGAGAAACCAAAAATTCACCAGGTTCAGAACCCATGCATGATTCTATAGTGAGCCCCAGTCTCCAAACTACCCGGCACAATCCTATGAAGCCCAAAGAGGACAACAAAAAGGTCAAAACCCATTTAATAGGACCCCTTTCCAGAGAACGGGCGCTTAAGAAAACTCAAACACTTTGTTAGCTCCTCCTTCTTTCCAATTAAACACACAATAAGACTCGCGCCCCCCTTTAGATCCTTTCATTCTTTGAGAATCGGTGATTTACACTTTCTGGTTGTCATGTGAAATGGGTTTGCATGCATGAACTTGGTCCCGTATCTCAGTGGAAAGCTCGTAGGGGACTAAATCACTTGGTTTTAGATTACAGTATATAGTCCAGTTTTCTGCTCGACGACATGTTTGGTCCATCTTGTGTTTGAACTTGTCAATCGGGTTGGTTGTACGATGTACCATATTGTGCATGGGGCCTCAGGCGCGGCCTCAACAAGCGGAAACCGCATGGGCCCGAAGCATGCGAAAGACAGAGACACACGCGCGCGCAGGGTCTGTGGTAAATGTTTGAGGAAGCAACCCCAAGCTTGTTGGAGACATGAATTAGGGTTGCACAGCGCCCATTTGCAAACCATACATGCATCTTTGCATGTGGGGCAAGGCTTTGGAAGGTCTCGCTATTCTAAAACACACCCAGGGCTTAGCACCTCCCTCAGAAACACCTGGCTCCGTTTCGTGCTTCGAACCCATCTAGAGAAGATATTAATCATTAAGTGTCTATGATCCTGAGGGAAGCTACGGAAGGAACCAGTTACGCCAACCAAGAGTTGTCATTTGTCGCAAGTTCAAAAACAGGTTGAAGACATCCGCATCTGATTCCTCTAATCGTTGGTAGCGACTGCTGAAATGCACCAGTAGCGTATCGCAACTCCGGTGAGCACTTCCGAGCCAGCGATCCCGACGGCGGAAGCGTCGTCACACATGATCGCTTTGCGGTGTCAGCTTTCGAGCTACTGTTCTTTGGGTCTAGCAAAAGGAGATTTTAAGAGACCATCGCATTATTGGAGAGCTTGCCAGCCATCTTCTAACACATCCACAGGCGAAAGAAAAGTGCTTAGCAGGTACTCTTTAGCGCCCGCTCACCCACAAATTGTCTTTCATTCGGAATAATCTCGGCGCGCAACGTGCTCAGTCAATTCCAGGAACTTGGGTTTCGTGGTGTGTTCTAGTGAAGCCTCTCTTCAACTTCCAGAGTGGAGAGGGCACTTTGCTGTCTCTTGAACAAGCTCTGTCGCATAGCTGTCGCCAGCAGCAGCGTGTTTAAAGACATCCTCACACTCCACAGCCTGTTGCAAAAGCCGCGAAGACCGTAAATGCTGTTGCTAGTAGCATGTGACAGCAGTTTGTTTATCACGTTCAGAGTAATTAACAAGAAACCTTGCAACAACGGGTGTGGGGAATTGAAGACCAAAAGCAGAAGTGATCTCGCGAGCGTGTTGGCGGCACCTCCAGTTTGCTCAGAGATGAGTCTGGTGGCATAAGTTCTCGGGCGCGTATCGCCTGAGTGACTCTGGTTGTGAAATGATCATTTGGTAAAATAGTTTTGCACTTCTAAAGAAACACTGTGAATCTGTGTCCTTGGCATTGTGTTTCCTCTTCTTCTTGTCCGACGTCTAGCCAGCCTGGCCCTCATATTCCCCGATTCCCTTTTAGACAAAGCAGCAAAACGTCAAGAAAATCTGTGCAATGTGAGGTGTCCACCCTTTAAAAAGAATTAAGCGAAAAACTGCCAAGTGCATCCATCTGCTACCTGTATCTACACAAATGGGTCTTTGGCAACATTATGAAACATCAATCAAAATCTCTATCAATACCACGGGCTACACGGTAGCTGCCCGAAGAGCGAACGGATGTGTGCAAGAGTGGATAAAGTCCAAACCGATGTGTGCGACATACAGTTTGTGCGGTGATTTGTCGTCTTTTGTAGTGGTCAAGTCCAGTGATGTAAAGTGTGGTACAACGAAGCCTGCGTACAAAAGTGTTGTGGTTATTTGCGACGCGATGAAGTGTAACGTGGTGAAATGTGCTCTCTGAAAAGCCTTTAGCGAACCGTTTAAATTAACAATGATCCTCTGGTAAAACCGGATGCCATGAGGAGACATGAAGAGACCGAATACACTTTACGTTACTTGCAAATTAGTTTGGGGGTTATTATCATCCCTGAGTGTGATTGAGTGTGGGTGCGGGTACCGGGTACACATGAATCCTATGGAGTCGGGTGACATCTGTTGCTTGACACAGGGATCGGGATACTCACCACAAAGTCTCAGGACTGTCATGGAAAGTTCTTTGCAAACCCGATGAACTTCCAAAGTCACTACAACAGCTGGCCATGTTCTCTACAAAATTGGAAGGACGATTGTTTATCTGCGTGTAAAACCAAGCCGTTTGATGCGAGGTTTTGAAGATTGCACACAAAAAGTTTCCCTGTTGCACTCAAGGCGCCACAGCACTGCAAGATGCATATCCTTCAAAAATGCCACTCCTCAAGCACTACAAGAAGTTCTAAGTTCTGAGTCAAAAAACAAAAAGTACACGTAAGTAGAAACAAGTGCCACGCTAGTAATAACAAGTGCCTTACTTGTAGTAACAAGAAACTACTAGTAACCAGTGCATCGCTTCAAGTAACAAGTGCCTTACTAGTAGTAACAAGAAGCTACTAGGTACACATTCGTCTTGGCGCCCAGGCACACCAGCGCCTCCAAAGGTCCGACCGTCGGGCACTAAGATGGAGTGGCCTTGCCCAACGCCACAGCGAGATACAACGAGCACACTTCGCTACGGTTGCCCAACAAAAAAACTATTCTATATAGTCATAGTCCTTGAAACCATCATGGAAGTGGAAAACCGCCTGCGTTGGTGCAGGCAAAATGGTCATACAAAGGTTTTGAACGAACGTGGCGACAGGCGGGCTTTCCGCGGCGCCTGGTGAGAAGCAAGCTGTGGACAGGGCCAACGGTTTCTTCTTCGAGAAAACTGGCTCCGCGTAGCCCTATGCAAGACCGCCACGCAAAACTTACTGAAGTCCTCTGTGGCAGTGGCGCCGACGTCAATGCTCCGGTTCCGGCCCGTGCGAGAGGGAGGGCGCAGAGAGGCAAAACAACGCGAACTTGCAGCAGAAGCTCGGTTGGTAGATGAGCAAGGGACGCTTTCACAAAAAAAGGATTGCTTTGCCACGCTCAAGGAAAAAAGACAGGTTTCAAGAGCAGTCGCGATTGTAGGGCAAAGACGCATGAGACTTGTGTAGAAACCAACGAGTGTTACATACAGTTGCGGGACATCACAAAGTTTTCTGCTCAAAAACAGAAAGGTTCAAGACTGTCAAGACTAGTCGGGCGCAGCGTGGCAGAGCGCGCCGGCCTGCAAGGCTTAACGCTATATTCGGGGGCTTCCCGCAGCATCTGTGGACCGCGATACGCTCACGCGGACACGCCGCAACACTGCTGGAAGCACACGCGCGACACTGCTGGGCGATTGGCTTGAGAAATCCAAGCGAACCTCGAGGGCAACGCGAAGCACTCAAGCCGCTGAAGTTGATTTGGCGCAGGCTACGAACAGGGGGCCGGAAGAGGAAGCTGGATAGGGAGATTTGCCCGCGAAGGCGCAAGCAGTCTTCGTTGCCAGCCTGTGGCGTATGTTGAAGTTCCAGTTGCCGAAGTGTCTTGGGAGCATGACTTCACGAACGATTGTGAACGAATCTCGCCAGTTCTCTGTTCAGGCCACGCTGTGCACAGACATCAGACTACGATCGCATCAACGGGGAGCAAGATGGTTGGTATCCAAACCGCACGCTGCGATAGACATCTGGCAGCCCCCGCCAGCCTGCAAACCGACAAACACCGTCCCCCAACACTGGATTCGGCGCCACCCCTCCTCGTCTTCCCGTGGGCATCGGCTAACTTCAATCAGGAAGCGGATAAGGTATAATTGAGCCTGCCCGTGCTGGAGCCGCAAGCAAGTTGGCGCCTGCCCACATACCACAACAAGTGACAAACCCTCGCTCAACGAAGGCTGCACCCATCTTCTCCACGCGGTCGACGATGACACAGTGGTTTGGGGTGCACCGCTCAAACGGGCTCTGCGTGGAAAACACTGGAGAGTGGCCCTTTTGTCAAACCGATAATTGTTTACCGACTGGACTTAGACCGGGCGTGGCCGGCAAATGGCGTAGCCGACAAAAACAAAGGGCATGGTTTTTTTCCGCCCTGTTTGGGTTCTATTTCCACCTTGTCACGCATGGGCTTTTTTTTTAACCCTGCGCAGGGTTCTTTTCTCACCCTGTACAGGGTTCCTTTTCCACCCTGTGCAGGGTTCCTTTTCCACCCTGTGCAGGGTTCCTTCTCCACCCTGTGCAGGGTTCCTTTAATTACTCTG